TTTAAAAAATCAAAGTAGCAGGGCTGGTGCTATGGCAGGCTAATCCTCCTCCTTTGGTGCTTGCAGCCCATGTGGCGTGTGGATTCATGTCCCACCTGCTCTACTTCTGATCCAGCTCTCTGATTATGGCATGGGAAAGCCTCTGGCCTAGCTACCCATGTGGGAGAACCAGAAGAACCTCCTAGTTCCCATCTTCATACTGGTCCAGTTCTGGCTGTTAGGGCCATGTGGGGAATGAAATAGCAGATGCAAAATCTCTCTCTCTCTCACACACTTTTTCCCTCTCGCTCTGTGTAACTCTGGCTTTCGGTAAAAACAAAATAGTTAAAAAAAAAAAACCACTAAGTCTCATTTAAATTGAAATGCATTAGGTATCAATTTTAAGTATGTATTGAGCAACCAAGGCAACAGTTGGCTCACAATGTAAATATTTGAAGTTATGGTCCTATTACATTAAAAAGCTTGCCACAGAAAAGTCTTCTCTTTGCAACATTGTTTTTCACCAAAGTAAATATTTCCTACTTTGTAACATCAAACAGGCTATTCCTCTGATCCTCTGATTTCCTTAAGCTGGTTTGTGGTCGGCTGCCTTAAGTTCAGAACTACTGAACAATCCCTAAACTTTGAATCTGTATTTTTACTAATCCATATAATGGGACCAATCTTGCAATGAATTTTATCCAGTATAACTCCTTTTGAGGAAAACATAAAAGTCAGTTTAAACAGGAAAGCTTGAGGCCTACATGACAGAATAGCAAGCTAATGCTCCGCCTGCAGCACTTGCATTCCATATGGGCATAGGTTCATGCTCTGACTGCTCCACTTTCGACCCAATTCTCCAGCTTAAAGCCCAGGAAAGCACTGGATCCTTGGGCTCGTGCACCCATGTAGGAGATCAGAAAGCAGGTTCTGGCTCCTGGCTTCAGACCAGCCCAGATCCAGCCTTTGTGGCCAGAAAGGAGAGGGGAATCAGTACATAGAATATTAGATTTTTCTCTTTCCTTCCTTCTCTCTGTAAATGTGCCTTTCAAATAAAAAGTGAATGCATCTTTTAAAAAAGGAAGGAAGAAAGAAAGGAAGGAAATGAAACTCTCCTCCCTGCCTTAGAGAAAAATCAAAGGTCTCCTTCTTGCTTCTTTTTTTAATTTCTGCTATATTTTTATGTAGGTACTCTGTCTAGAATAAAAGGATGAGTTTAGGATTACGGAAAAGCACTACTTCGAAGCCTACTGTTCTGTTCCTCCTAGCTTTTTTCTCAATCCCCCAAAATTGAGGAATGATGTGTAAAACTGTCCATCAAGAGGCAATCACAGCTGTAAAGTTATAATGAGGAATACTTTTCTTTGTCATCCTAGCCATAGGATATGTCTTTAATCTAACACAATGGAGTTGGTGTCACGCTTAAAACAGCAATGGAAGGAGATTCTTGAGTTTCTAATATTAAGCAATGTACTCAATATTGCACAACTAGTGACTATAAGGCAATTTTTGGCAATATGTTCTTTCTGAACAGCATTGCCCCTTTTCTTCAAATCTCAGTAGCAGCAGCAGTCATGCCTACTCTTCCTCTGTGAAATAGCACTGGACTACTTATAACTAAAACTTAGTCCTGGGCTTTGATGTAGTTTCCAGAGGAGATTAATTTAACATACTTATTAATTAAACCAAAATGAAGAGAGATCTAATGAAGCTGTTTTTTTTTTCCAGAGACCTTTTACAAGGAACAAGAATATTATCTGGTATAACAAGTATTTATATGACAAAAAGTGACACAGGTGACTTCTTATTTCCTCTCTACAGTAACTCCTGTCCTTCCGTCCTAGAACACCACGTTCCTCCAGCCTCCTTATTACTGTCCTGGCCACTTCCTCTCAATCTTCTTTGAGAGTTCCTTTTCTTGTCAAACTGAGAGCTGGAGACAACCAGTTCCCAAACCTTGGACCTCTTCTCAGTCCAGTTACTTTCTTTCCTACTTACCCTCTCCTCCAATCTTCTGGTGATACTGGAAATTGGGTTTTCTTCATTCCAAATTCTCCTCTGACATCTTGATTTACATGTGCATCTGCCTACTTAGATGTCCACCTGGATGTGGAACTTCACCAATCCCAAACTCTTGACCTTTTAGACACAAAACTGGCATCCTTCACCATTATCTCCAGGGTTCCTGAGCCATTAACATCTCTTGGTCTAAATCAATCACTACTTAGCTCCCCTCCTGCTCCTTTGAAGTCTGTCTTCCACAAACTAGCCCAGAGGCTTCCTTTCAAAATACAATCTAATTCTTTTGTCACTCTGCTGCTCTAAAGTCTTCCCATTAACTCTCACAGCGCTTACATAAAATCAATACAATTTCTACCCCCAACTCATTTTCTCCTACTCTTACTTTTGCTCACTCATCACCATCCACAGTGGCCTTTTTGTTTTCTAGATTCATTCAATCCAGTCAGTCTAGGAGTCACTTCCCCTGAGTAGAATACTCTCCACCCAGATATCTGCAATGCTTGCTTCTCAACATAATGCAATTTTCAACTAAATGTCACCTTCATAGACAAATGTCCTAACCATTCTAAAATAGTAACCCTTAATATGCAGGATACTGTAAAAAGATATCATCTTTCATGTCTAAAAAAGAAGGTGGGTTAAAATCGTTTTTATTTGTTTCAATTGAAAGAAACTCATTGGGAGCATACATAAGAAATATTAGAAAGTTACTTGTTGAATTGGAAGTTGTAAATCAGATAAGCTACAATAGTAAAAGCATCCTTCACTTACTCAATTTAAAAAAAGAAATTTCTGCACCATTGAAATACACTTCCATCACTCACTATACCTCCACATCCTTATTTTTTTCCTAGCAAGTATCTTAACTTTCTATCATATAATCATATAATTACCAGATCTCTCATTAGACTATACCACCCCTTTCCTTTACTACCAGAGAATATAATGGTTTTCTTCTTCAATAAAGCAAAAAAATTTAAAGAATTTTTAATTCTCTTTGCATCAATTTCCCCTCCCCCAGCATTTTATTTATGCAACATTTATTCTATTTATAAACCTGCATGGTTTTGTCCTTGGCTATACTCAGAACATGGCCAGGATGAAGACATAACTGGTCTGGCTTATTCAATCTGTAGATGTCAAACATCCAGGAATGGAAGCTGCTCAGTCCTGTAGTTGACACCATCATGAGTCAAGGTAATATCAACATGCGTTAACTATGGCTGTACTGAAGGTGACAATCTAAGAAGGGGTCAATGTAAGTGGGTGAAATCTAGCAAAATAGAGAAATACTGCTTCATATTGACTACAGCAGTGGCTTCTAGATAAACTTTCCAAAGATCCAGAACCAATATAAGGTTATTAACTTTTTATTGGCTTACTAAGATGAAATCAAAACCTAACAATATCAAAGAAAATTTACCAACTACTAACAACCACCTTTTCACAAAGAAAGGCCATTCTCATTTTAACATTAGAAAAGCAGAAGTACAGGAGCCAGCATTGTGACTTGTCTAGTTAAGCTTTCACTTGTAATCCCAGCTTTCTGCATGGGAGTGCCAGAAGAGTTGTTCCTGCTCTGCTTCCAAGTCAGCTCCCTGCTAATGTGCCTGAGAAGGCACAGGAGCATGGCCCAAAGACTTGAGTCTCTGTCAGGCATAGGGTCTTTTCCTCTCCTTTCTTTGGTTAGGTTTTATAAAGACATTACTGTTGCTATTTTTCTAAGAGCTTACTTATTTATTATTTGAAAGGCAAAGTGGCAGGAGAGACAAGGACACAGAAAAAAGCATCTTTACTCTGCTGGTTAGCTCCCCAAATGGACACAATAGTCAGGACTGGGCCAAGTGAAAGCAGGCACCAAGTCATTTTCTGTTGCTTTCCCAGGCATGTTCACAGGAAGCTGGATTGGAAGTGAAACAGCTGGGACTCAAACCAGGCTGATATGGGATCCCACTCATTCATACTCTGCATTCCTATCATACCTACAGAATTAAATATGGAAACCAGATCAGAACAGAAATAGCAGCACTGATCAAACTGATGATGAAGTTATAGGTGCTGTAATATTATTTACAAAGATGGCAATGGGGCTGGTGTGGTACAGCAGGTGAATCTGTTGTTTGGATACTCCCAAATGGGAGCTCTGGCTTGAGTCCCAGCTGCTTCAATTCAAATGTTGCTGCCTGCTAATAAGCACAAGAAAGCAGCAGATGACAGCCAAGGGCCTGGGAACCCTATCACCACACATCCAAAGACTTGGAAAGAGTTCCTGGTGGCTCCAGCTTCCACCGCAGCCATTTGGAGAGTGAACCAGCACATGGAAGATCGCTATGTTTATTCCTCCCTCTCCATATTTTGAATAAACAAAACAATCCTTTAAAGACAAAGAGTGAAAATCTAGCAAGGACTTAACAAGAAAAACTTTCATGTGTCTTACTGCTAAAGACAGAACTACAACCAGTGTATAGTAAAGCAGACGCCAGTTCAATCCAAGTAAGATCTATTAAACTTTGTGACAGTTAAATAAAATTTCTTACATTTATGGGAGTGTTCACACAAAGGCAGAATTTAGGAGCATCTCACAAACATTAGTACTGAATGGCATGTTGTACGATGCAGTGGCCTTCAACTCTAAAACTTTATGAAACAGAATAAGGGATTAATGTTGCCATCCACCTTTGATGAAAAAAACTTTGGAGTAATCCAAAGTGACAAAAATTCTGTTACAGGCTGTACCACCTAGTGACATCTGACACACAGGCAACAACTTTAAATTTGAAAAACACTATACAAGACTGTTGGGTAAATAAAACACACGCAAACATACAAACTCAGTGCCTGGAACTTACTCAGCCTATGATACGTGTTATTCCTTTGCTCAATATCACATCCCAAAAGACAACACCTTCTAGATCATTTACTAATTACTGATATATCTAACTAATGACTTGTGCTATGCTATGCTTCATTGGTTTGTGAAATCTAAACAAGGAACTCACGGACTTCTTTGATTTCTTTTTGCAATCCTTGTTCAGAGACAGTTATCTTCACCAGCTTTTCTTTAACCTTGCATTTCTGTTGGTCTCCTTTACCTCTCACAGAAAAATGGGTCTTATCAGTGACACACCAAGTGTGTTATTTACTTTTGCTAAAAAAAAGTGAAAGAAAAAAAACTGTTGTACAACCATTTTAACTAACGTGGACAGTAAATCCGCTCTACCAGATGTTTTCTCATTCCTCCTCTCGAAGGCTCTCCCTGCAGAATGCTCTATGAAATATTTTGAGTTAGTAAATCAAATCCCATTTCAGCAAAGGTAGCTGATCATTAAAAATCTTGTTACTAACAAAATGTAGTGGAGTAACGATGCTCGGAGAGTTCTTCCTATTCAGAGTAAACAAATTCCCTCCTGAAGCAGATCAGCATTTCGTACTCCAGCCAATATTATCTGCTCGCCAATAATTTTCCAAATGGCACGTAACTACTCTTTGATTACAACAGAATAATCTCCAAACCACAGATATTTTAGTTGGTAATTAAATATCACAGTTTCAGTTGGATATTTACTAGGTTACCACGCCATTTAACCACAAGATGTTTAAGATACAGAAGAAAAAAATCATTATACATCTATCATAATAATAAAAAACATTTCCAGAAACAGATTTTGTTGAGTTAAAAAACATGTTGACAAAACCTTACCTATTCAGTATTTAGTACAAGTACTATCTGATTTTTATAAAAATAACAAAAAAACTTGTTTCAGCAAATATAAAGGAACATGAAACTGATACTCCACGCAAATGAAACAAATCAGGAAGCATGGTTTTTAAAAGTACATTAATATATATATGTTTACATAGTATGTTTACAAGATAAAGTTCACTATTCTAATATTAAGATAGGAAACATGCAGATTACTAATTTCCATATGAAATGATTTTAGAACACCATGAAATTTACCAGCAAAATGTACATAAAGTTTGAATATGATTCCTCATAGTGTCATTTTGACAGATGCTTCTTAAATTGAAATTGAAGTAAAATACAATCTAAAGAAAATATTAAGCTGCTCTATAGAATTCAAGGATTGAAAATTAAGTCAACAAAAAAAAATGCATCTGATAGTCAACCCAACTAAAAACATAAACCTGACTCAAAAGGTAGTGTGTAAGTTGAAAATAATAAAATGCATTAATTACAGAAAAGCTTTATAGGTTTTTTAGTATGTGAAAATATTACTTTACAGCTTATTGTTAGTCATACAATTATGAAATACTATTAAATTTCAAGAAGTTATATTAAAATTCGATTACTAGTAAGTAGTAGGGAAGACTTCCCAACAGTTTTGTACTCTATAAAAAGAAATGGTAGGGCATCTTTCCTTACCAGTGAGTTATTCTGTAAAACTAAAATTCCATTTCTGTGGAATTAGGGCCTCTACACTACAAAAACAAGGGCTAGACTAGCACAACAGTGAGAGCCTCGTTTATCCGCACTGATACACAACTCAAAAAGTACAGAAGCTTTCCTTATATGTTCTCACAGTGGTGGGCTCGGGCCCACAGAAAAGATCCCAGCTAAAGAATAAATCTTGGCTTCATTTGCTAGGACACACAAATCAATGAGTTTAGGTGTCTTCACTAAACTCACAAGGCCACTTCTTTGAAAACACAAAAATCCTGGTTTCTATACAGTTAGGAAGAACCAAAACCAGTCCTGTTTGTACTTTAAAAAAAAAAAAACTCGGAAGATGCAAAATCATTTCACAGCTGAATTTCTGGCTTTGAGGGCTGCCTCTGTGAAGATCTAGAAACTGTATTTAAACTGTCACTCCCTCTGCACCTCCACCTCCTCCCTCATTCTGCTTCATTCTGTCTTGGCGCTGGTTTTAAGCAGAAACGCCGGCAAGCGGTCACAAGCACCGTAGTCTCAACAAGCAAATCATTTTAAAGGATGCATTTCCAATCACATGCATCCATCTGTTTCACCCAATTGCTCCCGAACGGCTCAATGTTCACGAAACGGCTAAAAACGGGAAACAACTTCAGAAGCGAACGCAACAGCCCTATTTTTGTTTTGTTCTGATTGCTCAAAACATATAAAGAGAAAGATGTCTCCTCATCCATTCCCTTGGGACTGTGCAATATCCACCCACAGGAAAAAAAAAAAATCTGCTGGTTCATTTCCCTGATACACAGCCACCTCGCCGCCAGGCTGCTTCGAGCCCATCCTTCGCCGTCATCGAGTAACTGCACACTGATTGCTCGACAGGGCTCGGACTCCAGCAGGCATAGCTCATGTCTCCCTCACATCCTTCAGCAAAATAAATCAACTCTACCCCAAACCACCGCCAAGCAGAGATGCTGTGACCTGGGATACAGATCCCTCTGTCTTTCCGCCCTGGCGTTAAGACAGCTGCTCGTTTATCTTCCCCTTGCAGAAAAAAAAAAAAAAAATGGAAGAGACGTGGACCAAAAAAAGCTACATTTGAATCTCAGGACAATGAAGCCAACAGGAAGTCACTCTCCTCCCCGGGTTTACAATCCAGCCGGACAGAGCCTACGCGGCCGGGTGCAGCCGCCTGCCAGGGTGCATGACACCCTCCCAGCGCGCCCAAGGGGCCCTCGCCCGAGCTAACCACACAACAAAAGGGCTCGGGCCCTGAGAGCTGCTTGCTCCCATAGGGATTTTAAAAAAAAAAGGAAAAAAAAAAATCCCTTCCCAGCGCCTTGCAGCCAGTCCTCGCAATGCTCCGCCTGCACCCTTTGCAAACTGCTCCAGCCATGGTGGGGGGAGGGCTGCACAAAGCAGGGAGGGAGGCGACCAGGATTCCATCCACTTCGGGGAGGCGGAGATCAGGGCCGAGGGAAAGCCGGGGTGTCGGCTGCAGGACGGGAGGGACTGGGGGGCCTAGAGGAGCGACGGGGGACGTGATCGCGGGTGGGGGCAGGGAGCAGCGGCCCCTCCGAACCCCGGGGTCGGGGGCGATGGGGGGTGGGATGCCGCCGCCGCGCGGGGCTTCCGGGAAGGCTCTCCCTCGGCAGCCAGGCCCGAGGTGCCCCTGCACACCCCACCCCACAACCCAGCCGCGCCCGGGGAAGGGGGCGCGCCCCGAATCTCCCCCACACACCACTCCGGCGCCAATCCCAGAAGGATGTGGGAAAGCAGAGGCGGCCGCGTCGTCTAGATGCCGAGGCAGCCGAGCGCATCACTTACCCCTCACCGTGAAGAGAGGGACAGGACGGGGGAGGCGGGGCGCGCCGCGTCCCGGGAGTCTCTCACACGCCGTCCTCCCCTCCACGCCGTGGCCGCCGCGGTCGAGATGCCGGCCCCTCAGCGCCGCTGGGCAATAACGTTATTCCACACACGCCCCACACATAGCGGTAACGGCAAAGAGCGGCGGCTGACTGCGCAGGCGCCTCGGCAAAGGGCGAGGTGCCGGGGCCTGGTCCCCTCCTCCAGCCCGGGCCCAACGATCTCGTAGTGCGCAGGCGCTGGACCCAGACAATGAAAGGGGGTTGTGCGGAGGGTCTCCCCCGCACGCCTTTCCTGCTGCCCACTGCGCAGGCGTGTCCCCAAAGACCAGCGGGAACAATGGAGAGGACCCCGGCTGCCGCGGGAGGAGGGAGACCGCAGCCAAGCGGGACTACAGTTCCCGGCGGGCAGTGCGCCAACGGCAGGAGGGGGTCGGCTTGCCCGGCATGCTAGGAGTTGTAGTGTCGACTGCCTTCACCATCTAGGCAGTCGAGGAGAGTGGACGTTTGCTTTTCTTAAGCATTGGAGAATTTGGATAAATGTCGGAAGTGAAGCACGGTCCAGAGAAGCCCCTAGAGATCAGTTGCACATTCAGTAAAGCGGGAAGCGCCCAGGCCTTCAGTGAGTCCTTTCTGTCAGTGGTGTGGCCCAGACAGCTGAAGGATGGGTTCAAGGTGGGCCTACACCGGGCGGGGTTAGAGGAAAAGGGAGGAGCCCTCAACCCCGTCTCCTGGCAACCGGCTCTAGTTACCAAACCGCCCAAGCCAGCGCCTGCAGCGCGGTGCTCTCTGGGAATTGTAGTGTCGCTGGAAAGTTCTTGGCATTGTCGAGGCTCGTGGAGCCTGAAGTAGTAGAACTAAAGTTCCCGAAGTGCACTACGAGGGCCCGAGAGTGGGAAGATCCCCCACGAGCTCCGTCCGGGGTTCCACGCTCCCCAGTGACAGCAGCGGCAGGAAGCTGGCTGGCGTTAGCCGGTTGCTAGGCCTGTTGTTCTTGGAAGGGAGAACACTGGACGATACCCTCACGTAACTCGCATCTCTGGGCCCACAGTGTCTGCATGGCGAAGTCCCCAGGGACCTCTTCCCTGGAGGAGATTCTGGGGCACTATCAGCGGAGTCTCCGGGGTGAGTTGCTCCGAACCTTGGTGCCTCAGCCCCTCTAGGTGCCCAGGGCCCAGGGCGGGAGGAGCTGACCCGGTGCGTTATCCGACACCTGCGTTCAGCCCCAGCCAGGCTGTGGAGGAAGAAGATAGGCATCACTCTGATCTTTGACGAGGATGAAATAGTTCTCTTGGTTTGTTAGGATTAAGCGGAGTGGCTTCCTTTGGTTTCTGGGTGACATGGACCCACTCCAGATGTCTACCTTGGACAACTTTCTCAGCAAAGGTCAGCAGGAAGTCCTGGAACTGAGTCTTGCCACTTTCGCACAGTCCCTCAGTTTTACTTTGTAATCCACCAAATTCCAGGCTTACGGGTTTTACACAGGCAGTAATGGTATAGTTGACTGAATATGGATTCTAGAACTAAGGGAGATAGGCAGTAAAAGCTAACACATCATCTCCCAGTGATTGTGGTTTAGGCTTATTCCATACAATAAGTCCTTTAGAGGAAAAACAGTTTGATGAATATTCTTATTTTGCAAGTGGCAAATGGAAGAGTTAAGTTTAAATGCAAGCCTATATGCCTTCAAAACACGTGATTCTTTGTCAATCAAGTCATAATTACTGTTATTCAAACCTGTTGTTAATTCAGAATTTCTCAGTGTGTTATGCGTTGAGTGATTATCTGTCAGTGATGTCAGCTCTTGTTGCTAGCGCTGTCATCTTAGAAAAGACACATACTCTTTAGAAATCACACTTCTTTTGCATTGGAAGTTAAAGTCGTGTCTGCAGAGTCATTGCGAGGAGCAAGTGAAATAACTACACAAACACTGGCTTCCGTGCTGCTTCAAACTATTACCCATAATCAGAGATACATTCTAATCACAAACCCACCTGAAGAGAAATTGCATCCAAGAAACTTTATTCCACTAGTTCTGGTATTTTCTGTTTTGCTACACTTTTATAACCCTGTAGATAATGACAAAAGTTTGGAAGCTTTTTCCTTTTTAAAAGCATCTAGAACCCTGTTCAGCAAATATTAATTCAGTGTCTTGCTATGGGTGCTGGGAAGGCAAACAAGGAAGACCACAGAGTCAGGCCCCCGTGGAGCCTCGGGATCACTGGGGGAGTGACACATCTGTAATTCCAGATTAGCAGGGTAGAAAACAAGAGCAAAAATAGTTCCTACTACAGTGGGTACTTTGTTACTTGCAGCCAAGTGGTGGCTTTTTGAGATTAGAAAGTCTGTCTGCCCAGGACTGGGCTTTGGGTTAGCAGTGTTACAAAACTGAGGAAGGCTTTTAGCACCTTTGCCTGCTGTTAGATGTTTCAAGAGCTCTTCAAGAAACAAGGACTACTGACTTTTTATTGAGAAATAAGAAAATTACTGTGCAACATGATGGGAGTGATTTTGTCCAACAGTGTAGACCATGAAGGGATGTTTGCTTTTGTTGGTTTCTCCTAATGTCACTTCTCCTTTGACCCTATTCTGAACCCACGTTTCACATTGAGGATTGTGTGAATTTAGTTATGTTCATCTTCATCCAGTGGTAACTATTAAAGGTGGTGAAAACTCTTTACCTCGGACAAGTGCAAGAGATTTAGAAAGTTGAAAATTTTGAAAAATGGTTTTAGTCATTTCATCTAAGAATCGAGAAATAGAATTTTTCCTGGATTTTCAGGATATATTACTTATGTAGTAGCAATTTTGTTCTTACATGTTCATTTATATACGGTAGATTCAGAAGAAAACAGGACTAACCCTGAACTTAAGCGCAAGAATAACCTCTTCAAAATGTAAGTTACTGCTATCACGTAGGATAACGCCCTTGGAGGTAGAATGTTTTGTTCCTGAATAGAGTATGGCGAAGTTGTTTCATTTGTATAACTTTATTATTATTGAGTGTTTTTGCCTCATAACTTTAGGCTTGCAAAACTGTACAATAAGGTGGAAAGTAGTTTTATGTTCTTTCATTTTGTCTTGGTTTGGTTTTATTGGTTTCTTTGTTTTATCTGTCCACCAATACTTTCCCAAATTGCAGCTAGTTTATTTGTTTAAAGATTTACATATTTTTGTGAGAGCTCTTCCTCTGCTGGTTCACTCCCTAAATGGCTGCAACAGCCGAGTGTATCCAAAGCCAGAAGTCAGGAACCTTCTCCTGGTCTCCCACCTGGATTCAGGGTTCCAACCACCTGGGCTATCTTCTATTGCCTTCCCAGGCTATACACAGGGAGGTAGACTGGAAACGGAGCAGCTGTGATGTGAACAAATGCCATGTGGGAAGCCGGCACCACGTGTAGAGGATTAGCTTGCTGTGTGACCAATAAATAGCTTTTTCATCTTTGCTCATAATCAGCCCTCTGGCTTCAAAATATCTGTACATCATTTCTGATAACCTTTCATTTATGTTCATTCAGGAAGTAGCCATGTAAAACTATAAAATGCTTTCATAGTTTTCCATAATTCTTACAATTGTTATAACTTTTCTTCATTGCTTTAATTACAATGCTGATATCGCTTATAATGATATAATGGTATATCATTGCTGATGTGGAAAACAAGTGACAGTTTACTTCCTTGCTCTTCTAAAAACTAGGCTGTGATCCTTCTCTTGTTCTGGATTCTGATTAGCCTAGAGAAGCCATGGAAATAGGAAGACCGTTTGCTTACTCCCTGCTTAATCTCAGCGTTGCTATTGTACCTTGCAGTTGCAGTCACCATATAAGCTTTGTGAATGTAGCTCTGGTTTTATGTTGTCTGTATCCCCTCTGTAAGCAGTTGAAAGCATTAAATAATCCTCTTTAAAATGAGAATCCTACTGTCTCTCCTTCTTTCTGTAAATCTGTAAATTGAAGTAACAAATTTTTTTAAATAGAAAAAAAAGTTAATAAAATGAGAAATCTAGGGCCAATGCTGTGGCATAGCAAGTAAAACTCCCACGTACAGCTTGGGTGTCCCATGTAGGTTCCGGTTCCTGTCTCAGCTGCCCCACTTCCAGCTCCCTTCTAATGGCCTGGAAAAAGCAATGGAAAATCCTCCAAGTACTTGGGCCTTTGCACGTGAGTGCCTAGTTCCTGGCCTCAACTTAGCCCAGCCCCAGGTCTCATTTCTTTCTGTAATTCTGACTTCAAATAAATAAAAAATCCTGAAAAGAAAGAGAGTGATGGTACAAAAAGTGATGATTTCTTGCCTATGTTTATAACATTCCTACAAAATGTATGGAGCAAGTTCCCAGTGTAGTAAAATATGGGAGCATCCTTGTACCAACTGGAATTATTCAGGAAGACTCCTGGCAGTATTGTTGGGTGTTAATTTACTCTGTAGTTGCACAGAATGCCTGAGAACTACATTCATAACCAGAAAAAATTTGCAGATGCCCTTCCTGTTTTATATTCAAAATATTGTACAAGACCATAAAGTATGTATTAAATCAGTTTACAGGAAAAACATGGCAAGACGAACCAGAATGACAGAGAATATGGACTCTGTTTTAAATTCTCCACACTTGAGAGTTGGCACGTGGTATAAGAAAGGAGAGAAAAGACTGGGAATGCAGTGTCCTAATTGTACTATCAGAATCAGGTCCCATGTATTTTTGCAGGGCTGGGCATGGAGACAGCTGTATCCACAGTACCTGTGCTCATCCACCTAGTTCCTAGCTAGTTTTGGTGGGTGATGAAAAAGAAATGAACTGACAGCATGACAGGAACACATCACTTCTATTCTGTATACATTTTGTGTGCCCAACCCCCACCCCATTCCTGCTGTTCTCTTTTAAACATTTTGGTGTTTCCACATCTAGATTAAATATGTGGGTGGGTGGAGGGGGATCAGGGCAGAGACTGTAAGCTGAGAATGAAATCATTGAACTTACTGTTGTTTGGCAAATGACCATCCATGTAATCTTAGGCAAATTAATAAACTTGAGTTCCTGTTTCTTCATCTGTTAAAAAAAATAAATAAAGAGTTAAGAATTACTGCCTTTGGAAGCCAAGCAAATGGCAAAATGTGTGATGGAGTCAGCGCAAGATATTAGCAAATGTTGAGGCTTATAGCCAAACTGGCCGGTTAACTTTTTTCTGAAAACATTTCCATTCTTTTTCTTGCTGTGTTCTTTTTTGCTTCTGTACTCTTCCCACCCTCTTTTCACTCACTTCCCTCTCTTCCTCTGAGGTTTAAGGATATCTGGTGGTCTCTCCCACCAAATCCTGATCTTGCTGCCAGGATTGTTAATATCTCTTATATCAACACCACATTGAACTATGTGAATAATAACATGCTGATATTCTGTCTTTTGGAAAGAAGAGAAAGGAGTGAAATTAGGTGTAGAGAAAGTGAGAGGGTGAATATGGGAAGATGTTGTATAGTCTTGAGGGCAATCTTGTCTCTTTCACAGATCGATTTAGTTTGAGAACCCTGCACATTGATGTTCTGTGTTTTTTCGGTGTATAACTGATAGATTTTGCCAAGTGTTTTTCTCTTGCTAGCAGGAGCTCACATCTGTGCAAGGGCTGTGTTAAGCTTGCTGGTCAATAATGTCATAAGCATGTTAGCCAGCACTGATCTCATCTGGACCGTTGTCATACTTAAAACACTGCGGGTAGCTGTAGTAAAAGTTCTTTTTCTCTGATTTATCCATAAAAGGTCTTCCTTTTTCCTTATTTTTTTTATTGTCTCAAGTGTTTCCTAGAATTTTTCATAATCTTTACCATATACAATGTATACAAGAGTACTTCCAAAAGTTTGTGGAAAATTGGTGCCAGTGCTGTGGTGCAGCCTGTGAAACTTCCCCTTACAGCACTGACATCAACGGGTCCAGACTGCTCCACTTCCCATCCAACTTCCTGCTAATGCGTCTGGGACAGCAGCAGAGGATGGCCCAAGTCTTTGGGTCCCTGCACCCACACGGAAGTCCTGGAGCAAACTTCTGGCTCTGGCTTAGAATTGGCCTTTGTAGCCATTTAGAGAGTGAAGCAGCAGATGGAAGACTTCTCTCTGTGTCTCCTCTTCTCTCTGTAACTCTG